TTTTTTTTTTAAATAACTAAGCCAAGTGTCAAGTCACTGAGCCATATGCATCTGTTTGTTTTCTGCATATCGCACAGGTCAGCATCAATGCAAAGATCATCCAGGAGGTGCACGGGGGAAACAGTGTTGTATGGGATGGACGGTATCTTCCAAGAACCAAATATACTGTAGCAGATGCTACAGGCTGCATGAGTCTGACGGTCTGGTGTGAGCACAGCATTACTGTCGGTGAATGGTACAACGTCACAAATGTCTCTGTGAGTGAGTTCAGAGGAAAAACATCCCTATCAACTACCAAAGACACACAGATCCTCAGCATCCCATCTCAAGGTACAGCAGCTGCTGTTCAAGTGCCAACTGAAACAATTAAATGTGACATCATTGGTGCAAACATTCAAAATCTCTTCATTTGTCCTTGTAAACATATACTGAAGAACGTGACACTGTCAAGCCCAACTGAATATTGTGTCTCATGCAACACACATTATAAAAGCACTGCCATCATAATGAAGTTTAGTGGTCACCTGGATCTTAAACCAGAAACAGGAAATGTTGTGAAGCCGAAGCTTGAAGACGAGGTCATAAGGTCAGTGCTCACAGTCAATCCCAGTGCATCACGACAGGACATTATTAAGAGCTTCATTGCTTTGCCACACATGCAGATTACAATTCGGGGGAACGTCGTTGTGAAGATGGAAGAAGTTCCTCAGAAGGCTGAAGATGAGCTTCCTATTAAAGTGGAACCTGTGGAAGAAGCTACAGTGTTTTATTCACCCCCAGATCATGGCTTTCTATGCAGTTCACAACTCAGAAAAAGAAAATCGACTGACTGACTGATCATATAACTTCCCATTACTGTATTATTGATAGACTTTAGATAAAATCAGCATAAAGACAGTCTAACAGACTACCAGGATATGGAAATACTTTAAATACCATTTTTAAATTTAAAATAGCAATGCATACGTATAAACACACACATCTAACTATAATTGTCATTAAAATGTCAATGCGAAATTATGTATAATATATATAAAATACACAAAGACTAATAAGATAAAATCCAGTGTAATTTTGCTGCAAGTTTTAATGTTAATTTAATATTTTTAGATGAAATCGTACATGATTTTGGGAAAAAAACAAATGGATTAAATATATTTTCAAATAATTTCTAATTAATTATTACACAAAGGTCAGCTACTGTTATCATTACATATCACGGAAGTGGTTTTAATATTAATTTTAGTTTATGTAAGATAATTGGTGGTGAGAAATTGTCAAATTGTGATATTTCCCTTTGCATTAAAATTGATGATGTCACAATCTGTAGATTTTATGGTAATCGTAATTTGAGTAATTGCAGACATACAGCAGAGAAAATGAATTTGAACAAGCTTTTTTTTTTACCCATTTACTCTGAAAAGATTTTTGTCAATCACATTCCATATTCTTCACACTTACAAAATTGGCATCAAAAGTGAATTATCGTCAGCAGCACACATTTAGTGGCAGACACATCACTTACACGAACATTGTGATCATGTCATTTACGTTTGGAATGAAAACCAAATGATTGCATTTTAAACACTTTCTGATTGAAAAAGGAAAAATGTTGAAGACGTTAGTACAGTATTTACTGATAGTTATTTCAAGCCCCTTGCTGTTCCTGCAACAGTTCCTATGGCAACTTCTAAACGAGAAGAAGTTGCTGTGAAAGAGATCCATATGTACATTATGAAACATTGAGACAACGTTGCACTTTTATTTAAATTCGTAACGGTGTATAATGTCAGCTTAACTCAGAAAGGTTATCTGAGGTGGTCAGTACAGGACGGGGTAGAGCAAGTGTGTGTGTGTGTTTAATGGATGCAACTTTTGTGAAAGAACATGTACAAGGCGTGACTGAGATTTAATCATTTTGAAGATTAAAAACAGTTTGAAATCATCTTAGACTAGTCTCCTCCTCTTGCAGTCCCTCTCCATGTGGTCTTCAGAGGCAGTTTTGGCTGTGGTGGCACCCAACGGCGACACAGAGTTGAGCAAGGGGTCCTCAGACGCCTGGCCGAACAGAGCCAAGAGCATGGCCACACCGAAACCTGTGGCACGCTCTCCCTGTCCACAATCCACATTGATGAATTATTAACAGTTCTTGGAGAAATATGCATAATTTCAGTTCATGTTCAGTCTATACTCACAGCGTGGACTGGTGAAGCGATGTCCACATGTACCCAAATGCCTGGCCAATCAAAACCCAGATGAGAGCCAATGAAGAGGCCAGCACAGGAGCTCTGTGCATTCTCACGGTCCTGCAGACACACAAAATATGCACCACTGTTAAGTCAAATGAAATTACTATTAAAGCTAATTATTTAAATAGAATTTGGTCTTAGGTTGTGAAGAACTGAAAATTCCAATTCAGACAGCAATAAAAAAATTAAAATATATTATAAGCAAACATTTATAAAAAGTAAATTTAAGCAATAAGTAATACTAAATAAAATAAGGTAAAAAAAAGGTAAAATTTTTTAAAGTAAAAAATGTAAAGTTAAAATAAAACGTAATAATAAATTAAAATAAAACAATTAAACCTAAATAAAATAAGGTCAAAAAGTAAAATGTAAAAAAAAAAAAAAAGTTAAAATGTTTAAATATAAAGTTAAAAATGTAAAGTTAAAATAAAACGTAATAAATTAAAATAAAACAATTAAACCTAAATAAAAAGGTAAAAAAATTTGTAAAATAAAAAATGAAATCAAATAAAAAATTTAAAAAATTTAAAGTAAAAGAATATGTAAAAATGAAAAAAGAAACAAAGAAAAAAAAATAAGCTAAAAAGTCCATGTCCTAACGGTAATTACTATGCACTGTATGGTACACAATTACGGTAACTGAAGTATCATTGTGGTGAACATTTGTGCATGGGGGGGGAAAAGAAGTACACTCTCTTTATCCCCTTTCACTCCACACCCATCTCTTCCCTGTTTCCTCACCGCCACAGAGTTCTTCATGTCAGCCACAGCTGAGGTGAATTCACTGAAGTGAAGCTCGGGGCAGTAGACCAGAGGATGTGCCAGGTCTCCGCTGCTGCGGCCCGCTCTCACACAAGCGGCTTCCCACTGCTCACTGTTGGTCATCACAGCAGCGTGATACTTCCCCGTGGAGATTCCCTGCAGAAACCACAGACAAAGAAAACGGAAAGCACAAGTGACAGGATGTTTGAGTAGTGTGGGACTTAATTTTACTGATTGGGAACTGGATTTAGAAACAGGTGATATTATTAAATTATTATGATTTAATTTTTTTTTAAATCTAATTAATTCCTGGGATGACAAAGCTGAATTTTCAGCATCATTACTCCAGTCTTCAGTGTCACATGATCCTTCAGAAATCATTCTAATATGCTGATTTGTCAAAAAAAACATCTCATCTATGTTAAAAACATTTGTGAAAACCTGTGATACTTTTTTTTCTTCAAAAGTCCAAATTTAATTAGCATTTATTTGAAATATAAATAACATTATAAATGCCTTTACTGTCACTTTTGCTCTATTTAATCCATCCTTGCTGAATAAAAGTTGTTTTTTTTCCTTACATGTTGCTGTCTGATCAAAGGGATTTTTTTGGTCAGCATCAGTGACTAAAATGCATGATGAAAAACAAAGAAGTGATTCAGTGGCCACTCTTAAAAAAAAAAAAAGAGCTTCCGTCACATGATTATGAACACACAAGATATACTGTAAGTCAAGATCTAACCGGTTTTGTCCAAAATCCAAAGTGCAACAGCCATAAAGCAGTTTAAAACAACGATACGTGTTAGCTGATAAACAGAGAAGTGGTTTGTGTTCTGGAAATCCTCCAATTCTCCCTGATATCTTGTGACACTCTTCATATCAATATACAAGATCTTGTTCTCAGTTAAAACCTGTAAAGACTTGTACTCAGATGTCTCAAAGAAGATAGAATGACTGCACTGAAATTGAATAAAGAATTAAGAAAAGCAAGCAAGTGCATTCAGAAGATCCTAACACACTACTATGTCTGTCAACACCAATGCACCTGAGCGCCGGTCAGTGTTGCCATGTCCAGTATGATGTCTGCAGAAAGATCTTTGCTTGCATATACAACACCATCAGAGAGCACCAGCCTTCCTTCAGCATCGGTGTTGTTTATCTCCACTGTTCTGAGAAATCATGGAAGCACACCTTAGTTACAGGCAAACTGCATTGCTGGTTAGGACACATGGAAGATATTTTCATTGGCGAGCCAAAACTTACTTTCCGGAGTACAGTGTGTGTATATCATCTGGTCGAGTGGCTGTAGGTCCCACTGAGTTCTCAGCTAGGCAGAAAACCGCATGAAGATTGTCCTTAAAGCCCTGAGACATGCAACAGAAGTCAACATCAGAGCTTCAAACATGTTAAGGTTGCACCTGGTACTCACATCCGTTTTTTGCAATGCGATCACAAATACAGATGTAAACCGGTTACAAAATGTATTGTTCAGATGTCATCAGGGATGAATATGATTAATTTCACATTTGTAATGTCAACATGTAATGCATCACTCATGCCACACGTAATCACTGTACCAAAACAACAATCTACAATTTTAAAAGAAAACAACTGTCTGAATAAGCAAAAACCAGAAATGCTCAAAAATAGACTACAATTTAAAAAGTTGGGGTCAGTAAGGTTAATTTTTTCAGCAAGGATTTTTCAGCAAGGATGCATTTAATTGATCAAAAGTGACAGTAAAGACATTTATAATGTTACAAATAAATGCTTCTTCAAGAAACGACCAAAAACACATCTGTTCCACCTTTATTTGACCCTCTAACTCTAGCACTTTCTATTCTATTTTAATTCCACTTTATCTATATTTATCTTCTCTTTTATTATTTAAAAAACAAAACAAAGAAACACTAGCTTTCTATATTTCTATTCTATCTACTTGTTTTTCTTTGTGTGTGTGTGTGTGTA